TTACCATATTTGGGACTCTCTGCTCGTGTACTATAGCTATGCTTCCGGACTCTTCTGGTACTGACTAGGACAATCTGTACTACTCCAGAATGGTCTAGACAGGTCTATGCCTTACTCATTTATTACTCATCCTATGGTGCGATACGTCGCAATTCTTTCGTCGTTGTATTATTCATCGCACTATGGTACATGTGACTAACCACTCTTCGATTAGTCATGGACACTTCTCTGTAGTATATAAGGACTTCAGATTGCGTCCTCCCTCTTCAGTCTTTCCTTACTGACTGAAGAGTGAGTACTTCGTTATATCTACCTCTAACTTGTAGTTACTTACTTGATCCTTTGTAGTCTTGCTTCGACTCTAGGTACAGTTCGTTGCTGCAATATAGTCTTTCCTTACTGACTGAAGATCTTGCTTCGACTCTAGTCGGATCTAATCTTTGTCTTCACAGCCCCGAGTTTATCATCTCTCGGCATCCTGAGATACAAGCAAAGTTTTGTGTTGATGTTTATCCCTGCGCGCACCCATCATCCATCTCTGTCGACACTCGGTTCTGCCCGTGCATCCCCTCCACTATCCCAAACTCTTGACTGTGCCTGCCGACACTGCTGCCACGGTGACTTTGCACAGTTGTGCCTGTGAGCGCTTTTAGTCTAGTATCTAGTATCGTGTAGCACCCTATTGCGCTTTCGAGGCGTACGGGGTTTCAGGTATCCCTGTGCCAGGCCACGCACTTGCGCCCGCCAGCACTTGTACTGGGGTCGTCAGTAACCTTACGACCGGAGGACAACCGTGTGGACCCTCCTTACGATAGCCTTTTGCATACGTACCTAGCTAGCTTTTCTTGGGCACAGTTGGCGACTTCTACCCGGGTTGTAGGCATCTCCAGCTTGCTTGCTTCCTGGTTGCCTCAATAGGTGTTCATATCTCATCGCTTTCGCACGTGGCTCTCCATCTTACATCGGGTTTCCCTATCTCCTGGCTGTTTTGGATCCGACAACAGCAGCGGAACCTCCTGTCTCTTCGGACGAGGAAGTTGAACAAGCTATCAACTCCACATCCTCCGAAGAAGAACCTCCTTTTGATTGTCAAGGTCTATCTCACATCTACGACCTTGAGGACGGTTGTGATTGAGCATACGAGCTTGATACTGCAGAGTGGCGCCAGTGCGACGAGGAAATCTGTCCCAATCGTTTTTCAGGACCACTTAGTCCAGAAGATTTTCCCTCGAGCTTCCCCTTCGCACTCTGCTCCGATCCTCAGACAACTGAACCGTTTATCCGCGCTGCTGCCTTTGGACTACCGGACTCAGAGCCTCCAACGCCAGTCCCGGTATCCATCCCTCTCTTCTATCTTGAGCAAGACTTCGATTCTTTCTTTCGCGCTCCACCTCCATCGCAACCGGACAACTTCTTTGATCGTCATCTCCTACTCCATTCCCTCGTCATGTCAGACAAAGTCGACTCAAGTTCTCTCTCCTCCCTCTCCAACATCAACCAGTACCCCAACTGGGCTGCGCAGATGAAGGGCTATCTCATCATGATTGGTTCCTGGAACGTCACCAACTCGACACCAACTACTCCTGACGATGCTGAAGCGCTTAAGGAGCACAACCTTAAGATACAGTGGGCCCAGGGTATCATCATGATGAAGGTCGATCGTTCGCTCCATCGTCTCCTCGAAGATGATGCTGGCAACCCCAAGCAACCGAATGCGATGTGGACAGCACTCAAGGACAACTTCGGCACTCCCGACGCCGCTGCTGTCTGGTACAAGTTTGAAAGCCTTATTGCTTCGGACCGCATGAACGACCAGAAGCCCATCCAGCACCAGTTCGACCAACTCGTCACTCGTCTCAAGGAAATCAAGGATAGTAAGCTCGAGCTCTCTGAGAACCTTCAGGCGATGCTAGTTCTGTCCAAGATTCCTGAGTCCTATCGCAACCTGATCTCTGGCCTTCTCACCTCAGTCAAGCTCGAGAATCTGAAGGTCGAAACGGTTCGCGAGAAGACCCTCGCCTACGAGAACATCCAAAAGACGGGTATGGCAAACCGCACTTCGGTGACTCGTGTTTCTCAGAACAAGCCCAAGAAGAAAGGCCCTTGTGGTCACTGCGGCGGCAAGACTCACGATGAATCTTCTTGTTGGAAGAAGTATCCTGAGAAGAAGCCGAAGGGTGGGGGGAACAAGAAGGACGAGAAAGGCAAGGGAAAGGACAATGGACCACCGAATAATCACTCGCACGCTACCGTCAATGAGTCTTCGTCAGCCAATGTACTAGTATCTACTACCGCTGAGGCTTCGCAATCAATCTCCGCTTCTTTCTATGGCTCGTCTTCGGACGATTATCGGTTGACTACTTGGCTGATGGACTCAGGTGCTTCGGAACATATCACTCCTTACTTCGACGACTTTGACACCTATGAGGAGTTTGCCTCTCCAATGGTTTTCGGCACTGCTGCAGCCGGCTCGCCGCTTTATGCGCCCGGTGAAGGCACTGTTCGTGGCCGTACATGGGTCGAAGGCTCTGGTTGGGTCAATACCACCATTAGCCATGTCGTTTATCTTCCGAATGCATCGTGCCGGCTCTTCTCCTGCGGAGCCGTTGAGCGGAAAGG